AATATAATACTTTAGACATTCAGAAGGTACCACTGTAAGGGTGAAACCGTTTGTCAGCACAAGAAATCTAGTGCTCTTTAGAGTCCTTCCTGTGACCATGACAGTTTCTGGTTGATTCACAAGTGATCCATAAGGCTGAAATCTTGAAACTGATTGAATTCCTCATTTAAATAAATGAATAAAATAGAATATAAAGGAAACAGGCGTGCTGATTATAAATTGGGCAACAGATAAGAGCATGAACAAAACTTCCCCGAAATTACACGACGTACAAGAAAACGAGGCTTCTTCAGTACCCAGAACTTCGCGTATGCATAGTCGATATACGCGTTGGTCGTAAGCCACTGTCTGCCCTGATTCATCCCGAATAGAAAGCACTATAGCTTGTAAAGTTTAAACTTCACAGTGCAAAGACGGAAAGAAAACGTTAGCAAATGAAACAAATAATTAATTTTGAAACTGCCTTCTGTTTCGAAGCAACCTCAGGTAGCTATCGTCAGCTGCTAATGACAGAATTCAACAATTCTAGCATGAAGAAGCTTCGTTTCTAAAAGTCTTGCAAAAAGAATGCCAGAGTGGGACGCATCTTATGCCGATTACAACCGTGAAGTATCAGCTATGTGGTTGGTCGAGACGAATCGCAGATGTTAGGGGCGCTTGCATAAGACAGCATTGCCTACCACCTGCTCTTACTGGTATGACCACACAGAAATACTATGCTATACCGTTTTTCTCAAATCGTCAACTTGCTAATTGGCTGGGTGTGCTGAAGCAATGTGAGTTAAATTTCTTGTTCAAGGAAATAATAAAATGAGGCGATTTTTGCCCCTTCTTAAGAGTTGACCCCTGCATCATAGGAGTTCCAAGCCGACCTCTTTATTGCTGTCACTGCTCGCCATAAACCGTTTCGACCTAGAAAATTTGAGCGAGTGATATGAGGAAAAATTCAACGATTACATTAACAACTTCTCTGCCCGACTGACATGACTCAGCCAAAATAAAGCGCTGATAAGCCAGGAAACCGATATCTTACTCAGCAAAGGAGACCATTTGTTGAAAGCAAGTTTCAAGACAGCAAGATCAGATTTCTAATGAAGCACTAGACCTGAATAAAATGGAAGATGAAGTCAAGAAATTCTAATGAATAGCACGCAACGAATCACTTTATTTACAATATCAAAGGAAAAAATCCTATAAGACTACATCAGAAAATGCCGGCTTGAACGAGAGACATATGAAGTTTATCGGACTATCTGGACACTGAGAAATTATTTCATGTCAGGTCTCTATGCACACTAATCTTCGACTAGCAACCTACCAACAAACAAACATCAAATACCCTGTAGGTGGGGGGAGAACTTTGAGAAAATATACAAACAGGAAAGTTGCAAGGCTGGTGTCTGAAGAACCGAAACTACAGTCGTCAACATCAGGTGCGCTGTCAAGTACTTAAACAACAGAACAGTTCCTGGTAGTTATTGCATTCGAACAGCATTATTAAGATTTTATATGGCTAAATAATTAGGCACTTAATTAGGTTTGTATTGAACGTGCAACGAACGGGACGCTACCTGACGAACGATCAGAGTTCTTTGTCATCTGTCTGCTGAAGTAAGGTGACATAACTAACTGCTCGACGTGAAGAGCAACTTCACTGATCTCTTGCACGGTGCAGATCTTGATATCAATAAGCTTAGCAGCAAGACGGGACAAAGCTGCGAATACTACGGACATCACAAACCATGGAGAGCGTATGCAAACAACCGTGATGATGCCACGTTTCAGTAATATTGGATCGATGCAGCTGAAGGTGTTCAAATAGATTGGAGAGTTGTTGCCATCAGTATGTAATTAACTGCACATTTAATTGTGAACTCTGCCTTATCACTTGCGACACTGATCTTGCGGTCTTATCGGCAATCGAAAATCTACTTATTTAACTTTTTCTCAATTTCGGAAACTGAATTGAATTCTGACATCTTCACTTATCCGGTATGTATCACTAATGCGATTTTATAAACACAACACATGAGGCTGATGTAAATAAGTCATTATTTTTGCTAGTAACGTTTTGGCGTCCGCTGGCCAAAAATTGATTCGTTCGCGACTGCATTTTAGAAAAATGACGTGCGGATCTTACACAGCGTTATCCATTACATGTTGAGCAGACTTTATATGGCATAGCTTGAGGATTTTTCCCATTAAAATTAGGCTACAATAAAATGCGTGTTTGTCTCATGCTGCAAGGGCTACGTCGACAACGAAACGAAGATGGAAGCGACAGCTGTTCCGCAGGCGGTCAGCTGTTCTCGAAGCCTGTGGCGCAGATTTCTTGTTCGCAAAGAGTCATCGACCGAAGAAACTCGGCGCTTTCCTCCAAAAATCAATCCGCCTTCCACGTCGCCGAGGCAGTGCCGAGTCTACGTTCGGACGCCATTTTGACACATTTCTGACTGCTTGTTCAGTTCTACTTAGCCGTCGGACTACTACTTAAATCAACGGATGAAGACTGACAAGACGTCGTCTTCCAATCGCTACTTGCTTGCGCCACAATAACGGTGGAGAGTGAAGGTTGGACTTCGGAATCGAAACAAGAAATCACTCTCGGAGCCGCGGATTTACTTGTTCATTTGAAATGACGTCGGCAAAGATGACTTTGCTATGGATTTGGCCCTTGTTTACAGTTGTTTCTGACGGTAGGTATGAATTGATGTTAGATAGTGATTTAGAATCAACGCTTCAGCCTTATTGTGGCAATACAGAAATGGGTTTTTGAACCAAAACTAAAAACACTTTCTTGGTTTCTCTCGTCGCTCTATTCTTTCAAAGTTTTTTTTGTTACCATACTCATATTCCGTCACTGCTTCTCTTTTTGGGTAGAGGAGGCAAACATTTCATACAATGTTTCCAACGTTGCTGATCTAGTGCCAGACTCTGTGTTTTGGCAGAAGACAACTGTGGTCTGGAGCAGACTCCTTCCATACCAGATTAATCTCGGCCTTCCTCTGGATCTTCTGCAGGTCATATGGGCAGATAGTGATTATTTAGACTTGATTTATGGAGCCAGTCGCAACACATGCCAAGGCCATCTCAGCTGCGAGTTCACAATCTGAAAAAGCAGCGTTGTGCATTAAGAATTTCTCAGATATCTGTACTATTCCATATTATGTCGATATGCATGAGCCCAACGACCCGTCTCAGAAAGCCTCTTTCAGCCTCTTGTGTCCCAGGTCGAAGATTTTCAGCCATGGTCCACAACTCATGACCGTAAGTCAGCACCTGGATTCAGCTCGACTTGAATACCGGGAGCTTAGTCTACAGACTCAACTCTGCTTTAGTCACAATGGTTCGCACTGGTTTGCAAAGAACGTCACAGGCTACTCCGATCCGCCGGTCGAACTCTTCCTCAAATTTTCCATCACCAGTAAGTACGGCCGCAAGGTGCGTGTACTTCTCAACCTGCTCCACTGTTTCTCCGTTAAGCTGAAGGGAACAACGGGCAGGAGAACAATAAAGCACTAGGCTTTATGTTTTAGATACCTTCACACGCATGCCAGCCATGTCGCACTCGGCTCCGAACCTTTCTAGCGAGCAATGAAGATCAGTTTCAGAAGATGCTAATAAAACAAGATCGTCTGCAAACAGTGATTTTCTCGACTTGACACCTCCTACGCTGATACATTCATTTCTCTGAAAATTCTACCCATTTACAATGTTGAAATGTTTCGACTTTACTTTCTGTTACCATTGTTACAATGTTCGTGTACGTATCAAGAAAGTATTTGAAATTACTGAAGTTCGCCTGATTTTCAGCGGTTTGCCAAAGCATGTAAAACCACATTCATCGAAGCATCGCTTCAGCGCAGGTCACGACGTTTAATCTTCGACGTCTTTGTTGTACACTGTTTTTCATAAAAGCATTTTCTCATACATCAGTGCTTAAAACTCGCAAATGAAAGTGCCCAGCAGTATCCAAGCAGTTAGTTATAAATGGGTTCAACATCTAAGGTGATGGATAGCCCGATACGGTTTGAATGTTGTCATGGTTGAAAATTATTTCAAAATTTTTGGTGCTAAAAAATATGACAATCAGCAAATTTGGGGTTGAATAAGGAAGTGACATGAATTTGACCACTAAAATGACCAAGACGTGGGAAACGTCTCGAAACATTGCTCCCAAGCCCGTTTATTTGCGGATGTGGTGGTGGCACAGTACTTAGGATATCGACTTCAAACTGCAAAATTGCTGTTTTCGATTTCAGCGGAGGGCAATCATTTTCTTAACCAAGAATTTCTTTAAACAAAGAAATTACCACACTTTGCTTCAGTTCAGCGCTGCTGCGTCGGTAGGGCGTCAGACTCTTAACCGAGTGATTCTGGGTTCCAGCTCTGGAGAGAGTTACTCGTCTGACTTCCTTGCGAGGTTGATAAATGAATAAAACTCTGTAGGAGGGAAACAGGAGACTACATGGCATGCTTGCACACCGCCACTGTCGATTCTGCCTTAAAAAACAAATCAGTCTTGACTGATGACGTGGATATGGCAATCAGCGCCTCACCACTAACTTCATGGAAAGAAGGGCTTCAGAAATTGTGCCATCATGAAAATCTAACGAAAGTCGACATTTCAACCAGACAAATTTTTCTTTCCTTATTTCCATATTGGCGTTCTTTAGACTTGACAAATGGTAACATTTGCCATTGTTATATCGTAACTGGGAGTACTTGAATTTAACCGCTGATTCTTTCGGGCAAGAAGTGCACTTCGCGTGGCTTCCATCTAATCAGACGAAAACGAGGCACCACTGACTTGAGAACAGCAGGCACAGCATGGTGTTCTGGACTGGTTATAAAGGAAAGACGAGCCGTATGACCAAGCTGTACAATGCGAGTCCCTTTTATGACTGCAATTCGTTCTTAATCCACCTGACAGCTGGTTATCTTGCATTATAATCAGCACAGCATGGAACCCTTATTGTGTTGTTGTGCTCCCCTAAAAACACTTATGAAAATATAGTTGAAACTGTTAATTTTGTCTCATTTACAAAATAAAATAAAATACTCCCATATCGTCTAAGGTAACTGCCAAAAATAACAGCTTTAAGTTATTTTTCCTTTGTGCTCTGTTTTAACGAGGCTTTCATGCAGCATCAAAGGTTTAGTATTCGCAAATGAAAACGCCAAGCGATTGTTCGACGATCTACTGAATAATTACAACAAATTACGACGGCCGGTTAGGAACCCGCATGATGTCCTGACCATCCTGCTCAAACTGCGTCTCTCCCAGATCATTGATGTGGTACGAATGACTTGAATTATGAGAGTAATTGTGTGTTTGCGATTCGACAACCATTTAGCACGAGAAAGATCAAATAATGACCACTAGCGTTTGGTTGCGACAAGAGTGGACCGACGACCAGCTGATGTGGGACCCAAATCAGTACAGCGGTGTCAGCGTGCTGTATGTGCCTGCCGAGATGATATGGCTTCCGGATATCGTTCTATACAACAAGTCCGTTTCGTTTCGCCCTATGTTTTGGTCATAGCTGCTTTGTGTTTAGCGCTGACAGCAATTTCAACATTACAATCACCACCAAGGCTACGCTGCACCACAACGGCCTAGTGATCTGGGAACCGCCGGCGATCTACAAAAGTATGTGCTCCATCAATGTCGAGTGGTAAGAGCAAACACGTGTGACCATTAGTTAACGAATTTAGCGTAGTTTTCGTACCATGAAGGTTTCCGTTCGACGAGCAGACGTGCCACCTGAAATTTGGTTCCTGGAGTTACACCAGTAAGGAACTGGATTTGCAGCACTTGGACGGCAACGTGGAGTACGTAATGGAAAAAGACGAGCGGGACAACACCTGGTCAAATATTTCCGTCCTCTGGAACGGCATAGGTAAAGGCCTTATTTTATTAGTGCACCACGGAAGAAGTCACGTTCACACATATACAGAAAAACGATTCTCGGTAACTTCACTTAATCCGGCGCCCGCGTCAGTGTGCGTATTAGCAATTCTGGGGCAAAGTAAAACGGCGTCTATTTTCCTTAGCCATAGATGCCTGTCATGAGGCCGAAACCTGTAAGTTATCTGGGCAACAGCAGTGCAGCAGCGTCGACATACCTCCTACCTCCTTTGGCTGTTACAGACACGTATATCGACAGCATGTTCTGGTTTCGTCGATTCTCACTTTTAATGCACCTGTAGCGGCGCCTTTGATCTGCAGAAGAATCGGACTCGGAACAACTACATTTGTGCCAACTGTTCCCGTGCATTGGCATTCACGAAGACTGATTGACACCTGGACATTAATATAGGGGCCATTTCTGTGTACTGCATGTATTGACAACGAGGTGTGTATCTACTGAAATAAGCCCTTTCACTCTGGATCGCATTCGAGTGTTATGCACTTATGTTTATGTTGTAGATCTGTCTGATTATTACCCGTCCGTGGAATGGGACATTCTTTCGATACCAGCCAAACGTCATGGCAAAGCGTACCCTGCCTGCTGTCCTGCAACTCAGACGTTCATCGACATCACCTACTACATAAACCTGCGACGAAAGCCATTGTTTTACACGGTGAATTTGGTCTTTCCGTGCGTCGGCATATCGTTCCTGACAATCCTCGTGTTTTACTTGCCGAGTCATAGCGGAGAGAAGATCTCTTTGTGCATATCCATTCTCGTCTCTCTCACCGTATTCTTCTTACTTCTAGCGGAACTGATCCCAGCAACAAGCACTGCCTTGCCATTGATTGGTAAGCGTAAATTTGATTTTTTGTCTAGATAATCTATATGATAATTAGTTAATAGTCTAGTTTTATGCTAACTAGTTTGACTGGCTGATGGACATATACTACTTGCAGATGATCGAACTTTATTGATTACAATAAATACATGTTCAGAAGCCATTGTGCCTAAACAGTTTACGGAAAACAACGTAACTTTTCACATATGGTGATATTAAACCTTGTTCTGTCTTGGACAAAGATGTTGATAGGTAGTTTTGCCGGGTACTTCTTAATAGACGTTGTTTGTCGCGTGTTTCTGGACCGATGATAAGGCTTCCATGATGATAGTAAGTCTTGGCCGTTTTTTTTTGCCTTAGCACTCGCATGTGCAAGTTAGAAGCGCACTTTTTCTCCACTTTTGGTAGTTTTCTTCGCGTCACAAGAATTTTTTTCCCAGATGAACGCTGTAACCTTCTTTCATCGAGTGGTCCATATTCACGGTTCTTTTCATATTCTCTTCTTATCTTAGTTGAATTTTTCATCTGTTTTCGCCTACGTAGATTCTGACTTTCTTTACGTTCCCCTTAGACTCTCGTTTGTTTGATTCAGATGCATATTCTTTATGTTAGATAATCAGACAACAAACATACGGCTTATTTTGACTTACGTGAACTTTGTCTAAAACAACCCATCAGTGTGTCATTATGTCGCTGTCATTAAAGAGATTTTTTGCTGATATTTTCTGCTCAAGTTCAAATTTTTCAGGTAAATACCTGCTTTTTACCATGGTAATGGTCACTTTGTCCATAATCGTGACTGTAGTGGTGCTGAATTTGCATTTTCGGACTCCTACCACGCATCGAATGCCTAAGTGGTTAAAAATTATCTTCCTTCAGAAGCTGCCAAGATACTTGTTCATGCGACGACCGCTGGGGAGCGAAGATTCCCTTCGATGCTTAGATACCCACCGAAATTTTCGGAAAAAATCGGTTTTCCAGAAAACGTTCATCGATGACGACGGGATAATCCAAAGCGCACAAGAACCGGGACAGATGCCCACTAGGCCGCAGTATCTGCAAGTCCCGGAAGCTGACAGTGCACTGTGCGAGACGCTGGACAAAATGATTATGATTCCGCCCATTCAACGAGCCTGCGAAAACTTATGCTTCATCGCAAAGCTCCTACAGAAGAAGGACAGGGACGACAAGGTAATAATTAGTTTTGTTTAATAGAATCATACCGGCTTTTTGTACAACCATATGGAAGTTATATGGTGTTACTGCTAATGAATGGACTGCGCAGAAGGGTTAAGCGTGGTGATATCTGATGTTGAGGTTTTTGACTCATTTTCACGGCATGAACTTCTTTTTTATTGAATGACTAATTGTAGTTGTTCGTAGTCTGGATTTGAAAGGTTTTCTTCGTTTTCCTTCTTTCTGCGACCAGATAATGAATTCATTTAAAGCGAAGGGCATAATTTCATATTTTCTTGCCCTTCGACAATGACCTTAAACGTGATCTGCTGCACTAGCGGCTGGAATCAACCATTATTTCAATGCCCTTTGCAGTCAGTCAGGGACAACACGGGTGAGATTTTGGCAATACTACCTTCGCATCATTACAGTGTAATGTGAAGAACTCGTGGTTTTTGTCGGCATCGTCAAACAAGGCAAAGTTGTCAAGATTAATAACGTCTGTTATTTCTATTCTTTTCGAATCAGAAGTGAATATGCAAAATGTTTTTCACGATTCCAGGCAGATTCATACGTCTAAATAATAGTATCAGATACAAATATCTGATTGGACAGATATAATGTTCAACAATCAACTGATGTGGGACTTCCCAACTACAAAAAATGACTGAAGCTTTAAACCTACTCGTTCAAACCGAAAAACATGGGAACAGGATCGAGAGAAATCCTGTATTAGTGTGAATCATTATCGTATTAATCGGACTAGGAAACACCAAGCTAGGCGCTGAAAAAATTGTCGATGAATTATTCGACCCAGTGGGCATGACTTTAGGACTCGATCACCAAATAAGGGTCATAGAGTCTACGTACAATTGATTTTGTCGCTGACTTTCCTTTCCTATTCGCTTTTCTAACTCCCTTTACAACCGTTAAAGTGCTATGCACAAAAAGCCCATTACGTCAGTTCACAGAATTATTGTCAAGTACAGAATAACGCTTTATTTTTTCGCACAACAAAATATGTTCCAAGGCCATCCATTTCGACCTTCCACGTCTACTGACCCCCATCTTTGCTTTGATTTATGCATTCACTATTGCAGAACATAAGTCTTGCGTTATTGTTTTCTTTCCTTCAGTGTTTAAGAAGGTCTGGGATGATTTCAGCTGAAAGACACGTGTGTAAGTGTATCGAAGTGTGAACTAGAAGATTTTAAACTTGATGAACGAAATACTAAATAGCGTAAATCTTTTCGGCTAATCCTAAGGTAAACTATTTAGGCAGATGCCAATTTAGTCATCCTCCTGAAAGGTGCATGGAAAAAATTTCGACTGATAAAAGGTTTATTTAATGTTCCCGTGCAACTCCCACGCTATTTAACGTGATCTTCCCAAAGCAGACATGCGATGCGTGTTTGCGTTTTCCTCAGTTTTCCTTTGTTCACTATTGAAGACGGACGTGGTAACACTGTATTCATGAGCTTTAATAATTTTTAGTGCCAGCATGGGGCGAGGTAGAGTAGAATCTTAATTAGAAAAAAACAAAATTGGCGCCCCATGCTAAACGCACGAAGACCGATCTACGGATAAACATTACAAATATGAAGAAATATGAACATAGACGAAGCTTGGCAGATATAAATGCGATCTCAGTCTCGCGCCATAAACAGTCAATGCGATTGTGAAGGATGCTGTCCGTATAAAGGGACATGTTAAAGCATTAGCTTTTTTAACATTTTTCAGTCGTCTTTAGACAATTCTATGAGGACCAGTTTGAACATTTTGTATTGTTCTATTTTTTCATGCTGTTTATACTGTATTATATTACTTTGCACTATTAGTTACATATTGAGCTCTAATATGATTGTACATTCGTTGAGTGAAACTGACAGAAATAGCCTTTAAGACATGTGATTTACGGGTGGGACTAGATTAATTTTGACTTATATAAAATTCGTGTTAGGTCAACGTTTGCTCTCGCTTAAGTCGGAATCTGTCCGTATGTTTGAATTGTATTTCTTTCCACTTTCCTATCGCTTAACTCTGCCGTCTCGTTAAGTACCTCTCAGTATACTTGTGTATAATTTCAGATCGACGAAGACTGGAAATTCGTAGCGGTAAGCATAAATATTACTACATGCTAACTTACCAGAGATCGTTTGCGTTTCGCATTTTTCTAGGCAGTTCTAGACCGGCTGTTCCTGTGGATTTTTGCAGTCGTCTGTTTCCTCGGAACGCTCATTATTTTATTACAGGCCCCGTCGTTCTACGATGACCGAGTTCCGTACGAACCACGATTGCCCGTTCTTTAAAGAAAATGACGCAACGGAAGCTTACGCAATGCATAGCCAACAGAAGCATTGAGCTCTAAAGTATGTTCGCTGGATGGATATGAAATCTATAAAGCTACAGTGCATGCATCTTTCGATATTAACTCGCTAATGATGCACTACTTTGACCGTACCCCTCTAGAATTTTTTGTAAACGCTGTACAGATAATTTTGGAGCCTTGAAGGTTTGCTTTTTGACCATGCATGAAAATACGTTTGAAACTTGGCCTCCCATTATGTACGTACATACATTTGATTATTTTTTAAATGTTACTGTTATTTACTAAACGGTTTGAATGAGCGTTACTACTTTAGTGTCTTTGGCATTAGACACGTTCAGGTGCCATCGAAACGAACTCAAATATTTGGTACGTAACAGGAAACCGCAAACGGATATGCTACCATTAGGATATTGATACATGGCGATATACCGTACTTAAGTAAACAATGGATTTTCCACCGAAAATTGCTAAAAACCAAATCCTTTACAAACGAATAATTTTATCTGTGGTTGCTGATTATTGCTGTAAGAAAATGACAGATTAAATTTCTCAGATTACAAGCTAAACAGTTACAATCGCTGACTGATTTGTACAACAGGAAATGACACAAATGCTCGAACCCAACCAGTGTTCTAACGTTAATCAGATTCATGAGAGCCTTTCGAAATGATCGACAACTTTCTTGTAGAATAGACAAATAGATGCAGTAGGTAGAAATGACAGAATACTCTCATCAGCAACAAACTGTGAGTGCTTTGCAGAGTATTACCGTAAATTGCTCGTTGAAAAAAGAAATTTGAAACTGGCCGTACCCTAACAGCCGCTTTGATATCCGTGACAACTGATTGACAGCATCAATCAAAACTGCAACAGCTTTTTCCGTCAATCGTAATATCCCGTGTTCCGTTATGGCTTCTGCGGTAAAGATGGGACTGGTAAAAAATGGAATCGATTCTTAGAGTTAATTGACTCATTGCCGCACGAACAATATGTGATTGCCAACTAGTCGGCCGAGTGGCACATGGCCGAAAGGAACCATATGTTCTAGAAATTTATTCAACGAACAACACAAAAGTCTCCCTGTTGATTACGCAGATTTTATTATTGAAGAAATAAGCTTTTAGTTTGCTGCTACAATCGATTGGTGCATCATGAAAGAATAATCGAATTGTGGAATAACTCCACGACTGGCGTTCATGCCAGTGTTGGATTTCTGATAGAGCCAAACTTGGCACCACAATCACTGAAGGGAAGCCGGTTACCGGAAAAGTAAGAACCATACCCTGAAATTACTACACGCTAACCTTGACCTTGTACGAAGTGCCAACAACGGAATCCATCATTCTGATCAGTAAATTCAATGAGCATGTCGGAAAAGACACTGAAGAGTGGAAAGGCGTGATCGAAAAGTAGGGCCCTAGCGACCTCAATAATAACGGCATGAATTTGTTGCGGTTTTGTGCAAACAACGGATTGTCTATTATGAACACCTTCTTCGAGCATCGAAAAGTGCA